ATAGTTTATGCCCCCGCGGCGGCGGCTGCTGTGGCTGCTTCTGCTACTGCGGGTCCTGCTTCTTCTGCCGCCGCCGCTCGACCTCCTGCAGCTGCATCCTCGGCCTGGGCCGGGTCCCGCCCCGCGCCGCGCCCGGCCCCGCCATGGTGTCCTGGATCATCTCTCGCCTGGTGGTGTGAGTGCGGCGGCAGCGGGGCGCGCCCCGGTGGGGGGCGATGGGGACCGGTGATGGAGGGCGGGGGTGAGGGTGGGGGCTGGGGGCTACTAAAGCTCGGGATGGATTACTCCAGGGCTTCATACAGCAGAGTCACCTAAAGGCATATCGTCCCTATTTGGGGTCCCCAGGGACATGGAGATGTGGGACCTAGGACTGGACAGTGAAAAATTAGGGGACCGTGGCAGGCTTCCCAGGGACCTCACCCACATTGTTTTTAATAACCTTTTTTAAAAAAAAATTCCCTGCTCACGCACCTATCCTAGGGTCTAAGCAGCACGGCTTGATTTATAAGGGGACGGCCCCTCCCCCACCTGGCAGGTCGGGCTGGAGGAGCTCCTCATCTCCCGGGGGAAGTGGGGTACGAGAAAAGGGTGAGGAGCAAGGCAGGCCTCACCATTCCACAGCTTAGAGGCATCGCCAGCTCCCTGGGCCTCCCCAAAGGGCCCAGGCCCTCCTCCCCCTTCCACTGACTGTCAAGAGACCCGGGATGAGGACACATGCTCTTAAGGCCCCCAGGAAGGAAGTCTGGGTATCTGAAAGCAGGGATGCTTGGAGGACAAAGTGTGGAAGGTAACTGGGAGAGGATGTGTATGCTCAGCCACTGGGGGGAGCCACATTGTGGAGCTGTGTCCCCGGCACCTCCCCCAGGCTCCAGGAGGGAACACACACACAAACCCCCCCAAACCCCAGACTTTGTCCTTGAGGATTCTGCCCCGCACTGCCTCTGCACAGGCAGGTTTGGAAGTAACCGGCATCCAGCAGGCTGGTCCACGTAGGAAGGGCAGCATCCACACGCTGTCTAGGGGCTGGGCCTGACAGGGGCTCCTCTTGGGCCTCAGAGCCAACCCCTGCACTAGCTCAGGACCCCACCCCTCAGCCTCCACCATGAGGGACTGACAGCCCAGCAACCCCACGTTTCTGCCTTCTTCCCATTCAGTGCTGTCGCTGCTTGAGTACTATTTCCTCTAGACCCAGTGGACTTTCTCTCTTCTTCCCCTATTCCATTCCAGAGAAACTCTAGGGGTCTCATACCTCCATGTGGCCTTCAAGGTAGTACTTCTCTCTTGCCTGGACAAGCTCCTTAAGGGGCATCAGTCTTCCTCCCCCACCTGTGTCCTGCCTATGACCTGTAATGGGATCACCAGCCAGGGCCTTGAGCCCAGGGCCATCCTCTGAGCCTGTTCCCAGAGGTGTTTACATAGGGGAATAGACCCCTTTGCTTCTCCCAGGGCTTCCTGCCTCTGTGCCCTCTGTTCTCCAGGGCCACAGTGGTGCCTCTTACTGCCAGGTACAGTGTGCCCTGTTAGGTCGTATCAGGTTCTCTTGCAGAGCTTGTCCTACCCAGGCTGGCTCTGAGTATGGGAGGTGGAGGGTAAGGGCAAATGGGTATAAATGGGCATGGGGTCAAGAAGGAACACACCCCCATGGGAGTGACCAGACCCCCACTCCCCATGCCATGTTTGTGAATAACCCAGGATCATGGCTAAACGGACCACACTGGACCCTCTGGCCTCTGGGTCTTTCCATTTATCAGGGGCTAGAGTAGAACTGAACAATGGAGGAGGAGGGGCATCATCCTAGCTGCCTGGGGCCTCCGTGCATGCATATCACCTGAGTATTGACTGCTTTGACCTTAACCCCTGGCCTGAGTTCATAAGTCCCTCTGATGTGGCACTCTGGAGTTCTGTCTCTTCTCCCCTTACCTACCCAGGGACTGATGCACATCTGGGAAGAAGAGGCCATTGCCCTTGGCTGACCAGCCCACTAACCATGCTTGCCCTGCCTTCCTAGGCTCATCTTTGGCACCCTGTACCCCGCTTATTCTTCCTACAAGGCCGTGAAGACAAAAAACGTGAAGGAATATGTGAGTGAATGACCCTTTGCTGACTACCCAACCCACATGGCAGACATAGGGGAAGACAGTGGGTCACATTACAGATGGGGGTGATTTCGTACCCACACTATTAGCCACTAACAGGACCCTCAACCAAAGGAGGTTCAGGTGTTCCCTTCCCCCAAGCTTGGTGCGATCCACAGGCAAAGTTGAGGTCCTGGGTGTCCCTTCCCCACAGCACCTCCAGCATAGTTGGCAGGCAGAGGTGGGGTCCTGGGTGTTCCCCCAAGTCCTGTCATGATCAGCAGGCAGAGCTCTGGTCCTGGGTGTTCCTTCCCCTCAGCACTGGCATGATGAGCAGGCAGAGTTGGGGCACTGGGTGTTTCTGGCCCCCCATCCCCAGGCCCCAGCAAACACTGCCCTCTGTATCCTCAGGTGAAATGGATGATGTACTGGATCGTGTTTGCCTTCTTCACCACAGCCGAGACTCTCACGGATATAGTGCTCTCCTGGTGAGGTCCAGCATCCCCTCCCTACATCTCAGGGTCCAGGGCCTGTCTTTTTCTACTCAGCCAGTCAAACAGAATATTGGGACCCCCACTCCCGACAGTCCCATGGGGTCCTCGATATTCCCCACCATGTCTGACTTGATCAGCAGACTAAGAACATACAGAACCCCCACATTTTTTTCTGGTGGCAGCCAAAGCACTTTAGTGGAGTTCAGAAGACATGCTCTCCCACACTTACTAGGCAGATCACAATTCTCTAGGCCTCAGTTTCCTATTTGTAAAATAGACATGATTCAATGCTATAAACATTGGATGCTTGCATTTCCAAGGCATTTTACAGGCACTGTGTGTGTGTATGAGCACCTTGAAGACAGGGAATATGTCTTAATCATCTGTATATTTACAGCAGGAGTTCAAAAATGTTTACCGAATGAGCAAATGCCTCTTGGAAGAGAAGACTAGTGACAGTACATTGGAAGTCAAAAGAGGGATAGAGAACAAAATATTATTGCATTTGTAGATAAGGCCCTTGTAGTTGAGAAAAATAGTTTTAGTAGAGAAAGTAGATTAGGAAAGAGGTGGGTTAAAAATTAAAGGTAGTTGGGCCGGCCCGGTGGCGCACTGCTATAGTGCGCCGCTTGGGAAGCGCGGAGGCGCTCCCACCGAGGGTTCGGATCCCACATACAGACCGGTTCCCGCTCACTGGCTGAGCGAGGCACGGGAGCAACACCGAGGGCTGCGATCCCGTTGCCGGTCCTGGTCCGGTACGGGGGCAACACTGAGGGTTGCGATCCGTTGCCAGACACGGAAAAAGACCAAAAAAAAAAAAAAATTAAGGGTAGTAATGGGCCGAGCTATGGCGCACTGGGAGAGTGCGGCACTGGGAGAGTGCGGCACTGGGAGAGTGCGGCACTGGGAGTGCAGCAGCGCTCCCACCGCAGGTTCGGATCCTATATAGGGATGACCGGCGCGTTCATTCGGATCCTATATAGGGATGACCGGCGCGTTCACAGTGCTCACTGGCTGAGCGCAGTGCCGGCTGGTCTCAAAAAGGACCAAAAAAAAAAAAATTAAGGGTAGCTGAGTGTAGATGCATCTTGACACAAGCAAAGGAGAGAGCTCTGATGAGGGCCTTGTGAGGGCATAGGAGACCTGAGGGATTTGTGGCCTGAGGAGGAGGAGCTGAGGACGATGGACAGCAGTCTTTATTTATTTATTTTGCCATCCCAAATGGGATCCGAACCCGTGGCCTTGGTGTTATCAGCACCGCACTCTCCCGAGTGAGCCACAGGTCGGCCCTGGACAGCACTCTTTAAAAGTGAGGAGCAGCCATGGCATCGAGGGGTGGGACCAGAGCACAGCTGGAGAAGCCCACTCCTCTTTATGGGAAGGAGAGCAGGAAGACAAGGGGGGGAACCCAGGCATGGACCTGGAAAGTTAGGGAGATAGCCTTGGCATTAACTCCAGGGTGAAGGATGGGGTCTTCCTTAGGAGTGACGGGCCTGGGACATGGAGAGAAGAGGGCGCAAGGAGAACCACTGTTAGGAGAAATTGCTTTGGGGGTCGCTTTTTACCTTCCCCACTAGAGTCTCAGCTGAGCCTCCCAGTCCCCTTGGGATTAGAAATGACCAGTCCCATGAACCACATGGGGACCCAAACGCATAAGAGGTGAGGGGCTGCCTGGGGTCATGCAGCCCAGTGCACCTCCTGATTCCCTGCCCCGTGCTCTGCACTTGCTTCTGTCCCCCCAACAGGTTCCCCTTCTACTTTGAGCTCAAGATTGCCTTTGTGATATGGCTGCTGTCCCCTTACACCAAGGGCTCCAGTGTGCTCTACCGCAAGTTTGTGCACCCAACACTGTCCAACAAGGAGAAGGTTTGCCCCCACTCTCCGTTTGCTTCACAGCCTGCCCCAGACCAAGGCATCCCAGTGCCCATGTCCATTCTTGGCTCAACCTGTGGGTGCCCAGAGACTCAAGTGATCTGGCGGGCCATGGCCTCCTGGAGTGGGCAGTGCCTTTGTCCAGGTGTGAACAAGGGTAGGGCTGCCTCAACAGCAGTGCCCACCTCTCACCTCTTCTTCCTTCCCCTCCAACCCCTCAGGAGATCGATGAGTACATCACGCAGGCCCGAGACAAGAGCTATGAGACCATGATGAGGGTGGGCAAGCGGGGCCTGAACCTGGCCGCCAATGCCGCAGTCACAGCTGCTGCCAAGGTGAGAAGGGGGCAGGCCCAGAGTCCCAGGGCCCCATCTTGTTCATCTGGTACCCCTGGCCAGGCCCCTTGGCATCCACTCTGTCAGGGCTGTGGAGGCTTGGGGCTTGTGCAGCTCGGGGTTCCAGTCCTGGCTCTACAACTCTCCAGCTGAGTCACTGCCACTGCCCAGCCACAGTTTCCTTATCCATCCAGAGGGAAAGTATGGCCTCTGCCTCTCAGCACTGTGTAGGACTTGAGGAGGTGTGTGGGGGAAGCACTGAGCCCAGGGGCTGCCGCCAGCACTATGGTGACCTCTGTCTCCACCCCGCCCCTCCCCTGGCTCTCCTGGTGCGTGGTGGTGACCCTAGGGCCAGGGGGTGCTGTCAGAGAAGCTCCGAAGCTTTAGCATGCAGGACCTGACGCTGATCCGGGACGAGGATGCGCTGCCCCTGCAGGGGCCTGATGGCCGCCTCCGATCCAGCCCTGGCAGCCTCCTGGACACCATTGAGGACTTAGGTACAGTCAGGGCCCAGGGTCGGGGTGAGGGCCACCAGAGAAAGGAGGCCAGGTAGGAGAGACTCCTGGACCCCTGTTCTCCTCTGCTCCCCCCAACCAGGAGATGACCCCGCCCTGAGTTTAAGGTCTAGCACAAACCAGGCAGATCCCCGGACAGAAACCTCTGAGGAGGACATGGGAGACAAAGCCCCCAAGAGGGTCAAATCCATCAAGAAAGTGCCCAGAGCTGAGGTGAGAGCACAGGCCAGAGCTCGGGGAAATGGGAAGGGGTGTGGCTCCAGGCTGAGCCCTCTGTCTTCCCCCTTCTTGCATAGCCGCTGGCTTCCAAGACTCTGAAGGTCCGGCCCAAGAAGAAGACCTCAGGCGGGGGCGACTCAGCATGAGGTCCTCCATCCCACACGCTGCAGAGCTAGGAGGACACCTCAGGAAGGGCCGCAGCCCAGCCCCCGCCCCACACTGTGCCCACACAGCCCAGGGGTCTTGGGCCCCTGAGGACGCTCAGATGGCCATTTCCAGTGCCTGCCCAGTGGCAACTCCTCTGGAAGGCGCTTGGAAAAGAGGAGGGGGCCCAGCTGTGGGGTTGAGGGTAGAGGCTGGACCAGGGGCTGTGAGGACTGAGCCACCCGAGGAGGCAGGGGCTCCTCAGCCTGCACCGCTCTTCTCCCTGCACCAGCCCTGTCCCCACCCACGCAGTGCCTTCTCTAAGGTCCAAACATGCCCCCACTGCTTACCCTGCGTTTGGGGGTGGCAGTTACAGCCCAGATGGACCAAGGATGGGCCTGAAGGCCCCTGGCAGAGGGGGTGCAAATGGGGAAGCTGGTCAGGGGCCTCCAGGCTACAGCTGTGATGAGGATAGGGGGGTCAGCATGTGTTTCCACGACCAGGGTTGCCAGGCCAGTGTTGCAGTTAAAGGCTCTTTTCCTGGGCGTTGGGTAGGGCTGGGTGCTGCATGTCCCCACTAAAAAGAGGCAAGGGTTCCAGGGGTGTGTGTGTGTGTGTGTGTATCTTTCTGGGTCTAGGGCTGGGGGGAGCTTGGGTAAAGGACTCTCTCCAGTAGTCACCTCCTACCACCCTCAGCCCCACAGCCAGCTGGGTTTTCCCCCTCTCGACCTCCCTCCTAGTCTCTGAGTACAAAGGACTCTAATCCACGAGAGAAAGGAGCTCTGAGGGTCTCTCACCTCCTCCTCTGCCCTTGACCCCTTTCATCTCATCCCATTCCTGACTTATCTGGGCCAGACTCCTCCACTCCTCGGAGCCTACTGTAGAGGCCCTTGCTGAGCTGGCTCCTTTCCTGTTCACTGGGGGACCCATCCTCCCTTGCCCCAGGGTCCCCTTCCTGTGCCAAGCAGACTGGGCCCTATGTGATCAGAGCCCAGCCTCCGCCCCACAGCCTGCCCCAGCTCCCGCCATGGCTTCAGTCAGGGCCAGGAGGAACATGTGAAGAAGGAGGAGAAATGCAAGAGCCGAGGGGCTCCCGATTCCTTGCAAAGAGGGTGCCCGTTGGACCTGTGGCACTGGATGAGCCAATAAACCAAACTCTGACACCTCGGTTATTTTGGCCTCTGTGCTTTGTTGTTGCCCCTCCCAGTGGACAGGTAGGAAGGACCTCAAGTGAGAAGCATGGCCCAGCAGTGGGGGGTGGAGGGGAGAAGGTCAGACTGTGAACACAGGAGCTCTGATCTCCAGGCATGGGGTTGGTTCAGTATGGGAAAATGGCTTGGGGGTACAAGATAAAGCCTAAGAGAGGCTCCAATCCCCAAAGATTATTTTATCCCTTCCAAATTTTTCCTTGAGACCCCAAATGACCTTCTGGTATCCAATGGAAAGTGCCAGGTACAGTCTCTGGGGACAGATAACCCAGTAAGGCCCCCCGGGAAGAAAGGATGGGATATGGGGCTGCTGGTCAGGGCTGGGGGATTGGGTGGTCCCAGTGCCTAGAAAAGCCAAAAAATGTTGGGGGGGCCATTGAGCCAGAGACCTGAAAGGGTTGAGGGAAGAGGCAGAAATGGGGAAGCCAAGACAGGCTGCAGAGGAACCAGCCCCATGGGCCCTGGGGACAAGGGAGATAAGGAACCAAGGGCCGAGGCCAAAGAAGCACACCCAGAGTGGCATCAGGAAAGGAAAGGGCTGAGCTCTGAACTGCTGGCCCAGGCTGGAGGAGGGAGGCTGCTGGGCATGGGGTCCGAGCCCTTGGCAGGGAGAGCATGGGCCCCCAGTGGCCAAGAAGCACAGTTGGCTGTGGATGAGACCGTGGAAGGCCAGAACCCAGCAGAAGGGAAAGGATGGCAAAGAAGCAGAGGCAGCAGTGGAGGAGAGATCAACAAAGGAAGAGAGTGGAGAGGGAGGGAGGGACAGAGCAGCGGCAGAGAAATGGCAGCCCAGCCTTGTGGAAGGAAAATGGGGCAGGGCAGGGGTGTGGCAGGGGATGTGAGTAGGGTCCTAGACCTAGGCTCTGCACCCCAACTTTGGCAAAATGCCACTACACCAGGCTTTCCTCATCCTTCCCTGGCATCACAGAGCATGTCCGCCTGCCGCACTTGAGCCAAGCTAGCCAAGAGCCTCCTGAATGGAGGTCATAGTGGGGAGGGCTTGTTAGATACCCTCTGTCTTCCCTGGAATCCTCCAGTTAACCAGCCCTCTGAAGGTCATTCCTTTCACCATTGATCTCTGAGCAATTTGGCCCCTTTCTTTATCAGAAAGGAGAGGAAGGTGCCAGGGTAGAATTCAGGAGAGAGACTCATTCTAGAAAGATCCCCAGAGAGTAAAATGTTGCAGTCCCATGCTAGCAGCTACCATATGGCCAGGAAACCAGGTTAGGCTCTCTCTAATCTAAATCTCATTTGCTGCATAACACACACACACACACACACACACTTGTTCATACACCCATGGTGACTGCTGGCTAAGGAGGTCACTGCCAGATTTTGCATTGCTGGGCTCCCATGCACACTGGGTTTCCCTGTGTCAACAGAAACATGCACAGATTTCCAAGCTCATTGGTCTGTTGCTGTGGAAACATCCAGACTTCTAGAACTCTGGGCACAGGGCCTGTCCCTGTGGTGCAGGAGAGGAGAGCAGAGATGGAGGGTGACAAAAAGAATGGGTGGAAAGGCTCCAGGGAGGAGGCTGACTGGTGGGACACATTGGGATTGGGGTCTGGGTGACCCCTTGCTGTCTCCTCAGTCTCCAGGATCACCTGTCCTCGCTCCTCTGCCTCAGTAGATCTCTCCAGGCCAGGGGAGTAAAAAAGAGATGTCAGAAGAGAGTTAAGAAGCCAGAGATCTGTAGAGGGTACTAGATCACTTTCTGGGTCCCCAGCGGGCTTGAGAGGTATTAGCTTTGGGTTGGGGGCTGGGGCTGGGGTCTAGAGCTATGCCCCATACCCACACCTTGTTTGGGGCATTGGGCAGCCTGCCAAGCCTGAGGTCTGTGACTATAATGGCCTCAGGCCTGGAGCTGCTTCACTTGACTCCCCCTCACTTTCTGTGGGTGCCCCACACCCAGAGAACCTGCTTAGAATGGGATTTCCAGGCTGTGATGTCAGAGGAAAGCCAGCAGCTCCCTCAGCCTATGCCAGCTCTCCCTGGATCAGCAGAGCTAAACCCAGCTTGGGAGGAGGCAGGGCAGACAGAGGAAGGAGGGGCTTTGGGGGTTCTGGGCCATGGTCCCCCTATCTGTGGCATCCCCAGGGAGAGGCTATTTCCAGGCCAAATGCCCCTGACGGTTTCCCCACTATCTTACATTTCAGCCAGTTCATGATTACCTCTTTCCCAAATTTCCCCAATTTTTCCCTCTCTGAGATGGGCCAGGCCTGTGTGGAGGAGGAGGGCACCTCGAGTCCTTGGATCCTGACAGCAACTTCGGTTTGGGTCCTGCCTGAGAGTATGTTCCATATCTAGGCTGGAGGCAGCAAAGGGTGGGAGGGAAGCCTGCAAGGAGTGAAAAATCCACTAGGTGGCAGAGCTCCCGCCCAGTGGGATTCCCCGCCCCGCAGGGGCAACCCTCTCCTGCAGCCAGAGGGCTCAAGATTTTGTGACCAGAGTGCCTCCTGCTTCACTCCTCAAGTTAGAGGTTCATGAAGAAGGCATCCTTGAGAGTGGACACGAAACCTGTGGATTCCCAAGCAATCTCTTCCTAAGCCCAGCCTGTGTGCACACCCCCTGCCCACTTCCCTACAGGAAATGGGCAGACCCAGAAGAAGGCACTCCCTGGAGCAAGGATCAGGAACCCTCCTCAGGGCAGGGAAATTGCAGGGCTGACCCTGGGAGGGCCCTTCAGCCCAAGGGACCCAGTCTGCAATGGCATCTAAAGAGGCTGCTGGAGCTGATTTCAGAGTCAAGAGAGGAGAGCAACTTGGGAGAGGGATTTGGGCCTGGAGGGTGGGAAGCTCACAAAGCTGCAGTTTTCCCTGGATATGGCCTCCCTGGTGGCCACAATGGCAGTCCCAAGCTTGATCCTTGTTTCCCTGGCCCCTGCCTCATCCCTTATTTTCATCTGTGGTGTTGTGGGGTTGAAAGAGGAGAAAAAGTCCCTAGTCCCCGAACCTTGGAATCAGAGTATTCTTTCAGGGGATGGGGTGAGGCTCCTTAATGATCTACCTTTCACTCACCTCTTTCCCAAACTGACCTCAACAGCCCTGCATCCCCTATGAATTACCCTCTCCTTTTGTCCCTGCCAGATGAGTGATCAATAAATAATGCTGCTTGAAATATTGATGGTGAGTTTTATACCAGTATCCCTGAGCTATGACTGTCATTTCTGTGACAGGAAAATGTATGGCCCCCCAGACAGCTCTTTCCTGCCTCTCCTAACAGAGGGTCTTTCTTTGCCAAGATTTCGATCCATTCCCAGCTCAGTCAAAATCATGATTCAGTCCCATCAACTAAGAAGAGGAAGGGTCCCACAGAGATCAGCTCAGCCAGCCCCCCGGGAAGGATGGGGTAAGGTAAACCAAGCAGAGACCCTTCCCAATACCTTAGTTTCCCAAGATGCGGTCCTGGTCCCATTTCCTCTGTTCTATGTCCATATTGGGCCTGCCAGGTCCAACCTTCTGAGTGGCTGATTCAGAAGGAGACTGTAGCCTCCCAACCCCACTGGACTATTTGGAGCCTGAGCAGAAGGTACCCACATGCTCCCAGAATTCTCTGGCCCATGTTCCTCTCATCTGATTTTGTTCTCCTGGAAGAAGGGGAGGAGAGGGAAGGAAGAGGTGGAGAGTAGGAGGCAGCAGAAGCTCTTGAGCCCTCTTGAGCCCAGCTCACCCAGTACCAGCTCCCTGCTTTGCAGAAGCCATGCCCACTCAGATCTTTGCATGCCCAGTTCTCCCACCTTCTCTTGCTTACCCAGGTCAGGTCCTGCTTGTGCTTCAAGTCTCAGTTCAGACATGGCTCCTCCACCCCACATCCAAGCTGTTAGATGCCTCCTCAAGGCTCCTTCCATACCTGTCCTTCCCCCCGACAGCACACATCACCCTGTTTGGTCATTGCCTGTTTCTGAGTCTATTTCCCCACCAGACTAAAAGGAGGGGCATAGGCAATGGAACCAGCTGGTTCACTATCATTTACCTGGCATCTAGCACAGGGCCTGGCACATTTTTGTGGAATGTTTGAATGATGCCCCTGAAGCATTATTCCACTCCTGGAAAAACAACCCCCTTCAAACCTCACATCTTTCTGCTTAGCTGTCTGCCTGCACCTAAGGATGGGTGTCTGAGCTAACCAGGCACTGCCCAGATCAGCTGCCCTTGCTCTGAGTCCCCCAGCAGGTGCCCATGCCCACTTGCTCTCCTTTTCACTCTCTCACAAACACAGATGGGAGTCAGCTTCCCAGCCACACTCAGTTCTCACTTTAATTCAAATGCTAAATTGGGAAGAAGAGCAGCTTCACACTCCAGATTTAGCCTGGGAGAGAAAAAGTGAGACAGCCTGGATGTTGTCAGGGAAAGGGGAAAGTTGGGTCTGAGGTTGGAGGTTGGTGGCAAACATACCCAGAGCCCAAGAGAAGACAAGGAACCCCTCACCAACCAGCTCCTAAAGATAAACCACCCCAATCTCTGACCCCAGTGACTGCTAAAGCCTCTATCCTCTACAGGGCAGCCATTCCCGGCATCACCTCGTCTTGGGGATGGGGGCATGATTAGGGGGAGCACAGGAATCTCTGCATATTAAAACTGTGCAGAGAGGGAAAGGCCATTGCTTTGGTCACTGATAGTAAGAAACCATGAGGTTCTTCTTAAATCTGACTTTAATCTCCCTTGTGATAGCTATAGATTATTGCCTTTGATTGATGAATTAGAGTCCACAAACAAATATTTGTATACCCATGTTCACAGCAGCATTATTTACAATAGCTGAAAGGTGGAAACAACCCAAATGTCCATCAACAGATGAGTGGATAAACAAAATGTGGTATATCCATGCAATACAATATTATGAGATTTTGATACATGCTACAACCTGGATGAACCTTGAGAACATTATGCCAAGTGAAATAAGCCAGTCACAAAAGGACAAATATTGTATGATTGCACTTATATGAGATATCTAGAGTAGTC